CATGTCTTTACCAATCATCATTAATACCAATGACATCATTAATGTAATTCTCACGTACAAGTATTGTATGGTAGCTACGTTCTGGCATTTATGTAACTGTGTAGTAAATATCAACATTCATTATAATCACATTGTGTAACAAATTATTTGGGCCAAGCCCTGTTCGAGTCACCTACATTGCACAAACCCATCTTCCTCGCGAACAAAAAATCAAGCTCTACAGACAATTAAAATATAACCCCGCCTCCATAAACATATTCCACCAATTTATATGCATACAACCACTACTTTATGAATCAATCCTCCCTACAAAAGATACTAATACAACCAATTAACACAAATCTGCGAAGCATATCTCAAGCATCACTAGTTACACAGTAAAGTCGAAGAGCTTCATTATAATCACGTGATATTCGTTACTATTTTAGTGGCTCCAGCCGTCGCGTTTTTGGACGGCTCCGCCTTTGCATAAAAATTTCACTATTCATATTAATTAATGTAATGATATCGCGAACCCGCTCTTCAAAAATGTCTGCTTTAAACCCTTCAAGCTCTGGTTGGCAAGCGGTAAAGAGGAAAGCAAAGAAAATTGGTAATAAAGTTGATAAGATAGTCCACAACTATCCTATCCAAAGTTACCGCGAATCTTGTCAGAAGAGAGGTAGATAGGTATATGCCTCACGTAAATTTCTTGATACATCCGTGTTGACTTATATATTATTGCAGTTTACCCCTCAAGATAGGATCGAAAGTTTCAGTAAATAGCTATAACGCTTTTCTTGACGAAAACGAATCGAGTGGATATAAGTTCTATAGGGAAAACAAGAACGTATATATTGTTGACATGTCAAACGCAGAGCATGGGGCCGTCGTAGTATATCTTATAAAACGGTTCGACATACCAAATAATGGTGCGATGGTTGGCCCAATATACATCTATGGTGACGCATGTAAGACATTTCATTAACCTGCTTGATTTTTTGGGCTAGTCATAATAGTTTACCTTTCATTATATAGTCCAACGGGCAGTGGGGAAAAAATAGCAGCAGATGTCACAATCCGTCCACTAAAAAATTACATCATTTCCCTACCCAGGCCCTCCCTCTAGTGACGTTAAGCAAATTTCCTAACACTATTATTATGATGTTTGGTAGGGTTGTGCTCATGCGAAAATCGCTTGTGAGGTAGCTAACGTTCAAGGGCTGGAGTAAAAAGTGTGAAACATGGATGCTTGAACCATACGTTCGCTGTGTGTTCGGCATCAAGCTTTTTCCTAAGAAGACTATGGGAACAGCCGTTCACCGGCAAATGATTGTATGTACTGTATGTCTAACACTTATTCATGATTCGATTAGCTTGATTACTTTTTTTTTTTTACTTTTCAATATTAGGCTAGATTGTGGACAAGAGAAGCATCGGGAAGAAGTGTAATACAACTTTAGCAGCCGCAGGCGTACACGTCACAGAGGTAGTGTTGATCACTGCTATACTCTCATGATCAAATATCAGAGGTTTAAACTAACTTTTGCTAATAATAGTGGGATTTCGGTACTATGCGGTATGGTACTAAGACACGCCTACGGGTTGCAATGCATCAAATCTCGAGTGACCATTCCGGTCTCGTATGTTTTCTATGACCCCCCACTCGTTGGGACAGTTCCTGCACAGTATGCATATTTGTGCCCAATACAGTCGTTGGCCTCAATTTTGTCATCGATTTATACGAGCAATGAAGTGAATTATACCTTTATTATCTTTCATAACAAATAAATTGCATCAATTGCTTAATTAACAGCTTAATCCATAAAGAAACGGTTCAAAAATAAACCACTGATAGGCGTATGTTGTATGTCAGTTTGGAATAATAAGAAATTTGATAAAAAAATTTATCGAGCTTTGTCAATTATGGGTGTATACTAATGTTGTTATAACAAGCACTTGCTAAGGGTTATATCGTAATTAAAATAAGTAATAAAAAGAGTAATACCGTGTTTTTATCAATAAGTTTTTTGTGTATTATTAAGTATAAGAGTTGCGTTCACTCGAACTTTTTAAGAAATAAGTTCAAGAGATGTGAAATATTAATATTTAATTTTTGCTTGTTCCTTACTCTAATATTGTTAACTTTGCTAATGGTTGTTTAACCCTTATTATGGTAGTCTAATTATTAATATGATACGATTTAATTCTCGGTCGATGAAATTGAACTTATTTATTTCCGAATTTCATTTAAGAAATTTTATCTAACTGATTTCAATTAGTATTGTTTGTTACGGAGATGGCAGTTTAAGCATAGCTCTATGACAAGCACATTGAGCTGTAGAGCAGTCAGTCTTACAGCTGCAACTAATACTTATTAAATTGGTCAAGCTTTGGTTTTAGACTGCTTTGTGATTTTTTAGGTATGGTAGTAAGCTCTGCATAATGAATATGAATACCGGATTCAATTTTTTCAAGGTTTGCCGCTGAATACTTGTACCTGAAGAGCATCTCAACGTTTAATATGTAAGAACTATGGAATTCAGTATCATAATCATGATACACATTACGCTATCAACAACATTAATAAGTATCATCACTATAGTCTTGATAATTTATGTCGTAAAATAAGTGTTTCTATATTATATAATTCTAATCTGACATATGTCAATTCAGAATCCAAACTGACATACAACATAACTTACTGTTTCACGATAAGCGAAAGTCAATTCCTTCTAGTAATTTAACTTTTGCGTCCAATTAATAATCACAATAGTAGCAAATATTGTACTACATTCCTGTTGTATGTCAGATCTGAATTATGATTTATGAATCTAGCTTCAGCATCGTCTTATGCTTATGTCAAGTTATTAGATATTTGTATGCACACGAAAAATTAAACTCCGCTGAAAAGGATGCCAATATCTTCGCAGACGTTATGTTTCGCCGACAACCATTTCACTGACAGGATTATTTCACCGACAGGTCATTTCATCGACAATCATTTCACCGACAGTTAATTTCGCCGACAGCCAGTCATTTCACCTCCAATGATTTTGAACATATTTGGCCACTTGGAAATTTCTTCTTGGGGAAATCGTTCATTATCTTGGAATTTTATGAGGTCATTTATTGAGCCTTTGACCGTTGTGAGAATGTACTTAATCGAAAACGCATTAAGGACATCCAGGTTGTTCAAGTAGGTTGAAATTTATTTTATCGTTAAATTTCGAAATACCATTAACCTATAATGTTTGCAAGTAATTATACAAACAATTATATGTTATCGAAATCAGAGCCAATACTCAAATTATTTCTGCCAAGCGACTCTTATAATACACACTAACAAACTCGTTAATAAGAATACAATACTATTTGTATTACTTATTTGTTATGATAATCAGTATAATATAGGCCTTAACAACCGTTTTTAATAACAACATTACTATTACTATACAAACATAATTGTACCATACTATCCAATAATTTCAATGCAAATCATCGTACATTTACAGTCTAACCATAATGCCAAAAAGTATATGATTACACATCAGGCGCAAACATCAAATACAACATCAAAATACAAACATCAAAATACAAACATCAAAATACAAACATCAAAATACAAACATCAAAATACAAAACATCAAAATACAAACATCAAAATACAAACATCAAAATACAAACATCAAAATACATTCTAACCATAATGTACCAATAATGTCAAAGGCAATCGTCGTACTACACACGACTACATTTACTATCTAACTGTAAACTGCGTTTGATACCTTTAATCACGCAAGCTTACTAGTGAAGCGATAATGAGAACCTCATGATTAACCCTTCGCGTTCACAATTAGCAACAATGGAGCAGTAACATTAATATATTATTCGATAAAACGTTGTTATATTACTAATTCTCTGTATTATTCGGAACTGACATAAATTCTGGTTTGTTCGGAAGTGACATAAATTTTGATCTGACATATGTTAATTCGGAAGTGACATAAATTCCGATCTGACATACAACAGTTACATAAAAAAGGCTGATGAATAACTATAACTCAGAAAGAATGTTGAAAGCGATCAATGGTAAATACGCATCGGGAATATTCGTGAGAGAAGATAAACTACAAATTGTACTTAAAAGCAATATTGCAAGTTCAAATTATCCTGATGCGTTAACGTATTGTGTGACCAGAATTTTTCTCAATCGTCCCAAGAAACAATATTTTGCGTATATTAGTTGAAAATTCATAAGAAAGTGGAACATTATCCAATTTTTAGGATTC